CCCCAAAACCCCAAAACCCCAAAACCCCATGATGTTCGATTTAATGCTTAAAAAATATTTCCATAAAGTTCTTCAGTTGAAATTAAAATAAAAGTTAACATACATAATAATCATAGAGTATCTCAATCATGTAAAATATCTGGTTAAAATTATTAACAATTAATCATTGATGCCAATCTCATAACTGAAACATCAGATAAAGTCTTATATTATACTAACACTCTCAAGATCATCAATATCTCCATCTATTTCTAGCTTACTTAGGGTATTGATGCCTGTACCTCCACCTAGATCTGCTGCATCTTGACTCTCAGTATGCTACAGATCATTTACTGTACAACTTAACTAGCTATAGTGAGCAGTGTCTGTTCTTTACTTGATTAGCGGGTCTTATTTTCTAGATCTAAGATCCTCCTAGTATCTAATTAGCTGTGAGTTTAGCTTATCAATAGTCAAAGCAATTTTATTCATTCGATCCTCAAGTTGCATTCCATCCTCAGTAGAAATATATGATCTTTGAGTTTTCGGCACATTGAGATTATTGCTTTAGTTATGATCCTCAGTAACATTTATCATTTTGCTATTCATTTAGGATGATAGGTAAGTCCTCTAAGTTTCCTCTTTGATATCTTCTGAAATGTTATGCTTCAAGTTAAACAAACTTAGAGGTACTCCCTGGGGCTTTCTATGCTGTGTTTTATTTATTTCAACTTGCTTACTTAGATTGATAAGCTAAGTTTATCTCCTTTTTTATATTAGCTATAGAGTATCGTTGACAGTGTAAGGTGAACCATCTCTCTTATAAGATGTATTACCATTCATTGTGAATTCAGCATTAATCTAATGATTTTAGCTGAAGGGACTATTAGAAAAATTCTAACTAAAGTTGATGCTAGTTTGATTTTAAGGGCTAATCAGATTGCTTTGAAATTTATATGGCTTTGGAATGTCTCTAATGTCTAACTATTATTATTGTGAATTATCTCTAGTTTAGCTATCCTTTCCCTTTTCAGTGTTATCATTGTCATTTCTCTTAGATCTTTTGGATATGATCTTGTCTAAGAAGTTTCCACTAGTCTTAGCTGAATAGATCTTGGTAGCCTCACTTAGCCCTCTATTAAAAGTGAACTTTTGATACTTCAATCTTTCATCTTTTTTCTCGTTTCTTTTTTTAAAGAATTACTGGTTATTGCTTCCATATATATTTGTAGTGTTATTACTATTGTTATCCTGAGAATTTACAGATTAATCTCGTTAATGTAGGGATGACTACGGTTTATGATCAGTTGGTTAGCTGTGATAGTATTCAGATTGAGATACAAATTTTTCATTGTGACTGTTCACTTGTCTTTTATTACTGGCTGGCGAAAAAATTATATTGTTTTTAGCTGCCTCAGGAGATACTAAGCCTGTCATGCTTTATCTTTTCATTACGAAGTTGAACTTAGAAACGCCCTAAGAAGGTTTATAGTAAGCTGATTAGGGATCTGACATGTTGACACTAGGAAGTTTAATATTTTTTATTCGTTTTTATGTGAAATATTCTGCATGATTGTTATTCCCATTAGTAATATTGTTATTGTTATTTTATAGAGCTGTTCCATTCAAACTCACTTATTCTACTGAGTCTCTTTTAAGCTTTCTTCTTTAATGCCTCATTGACTGACTGAATGATGTGACTGCAACATCCACGCCCTCTAAGTCCTTGAAACCTTCATCCAAAGCAGTTGATATATCTGTACTTTGGATATTTTATTACATACTTGATGCAGCAATTACTCTATTCTGAATAGATAGCGAGCCCTATTTAGGACCAACTCCTCTTTTCGACCTTATTATCTTTTCAACTTAATCCTATGATGTCATTAACAAGGAATGATCACCTTCACCATACTTGCTGGGAGAGAAATTGATGACTCTGAGTTTCTTAATTTATTCATGAATGTACTGATTTAGAGTGTCGTCACCACTTTATTAGGATTGAAGACATCTTTATGCCAATTCATAGTATTTCACTGCTTCTTATTAAAGATCCTAAGATTAATACTCTCTTGCTAATGCAAGGTAGCATTCTAGTTCAATCTTGCTAACTGTATTGATTTCTTGTTATACTGATAGACCATACCCAGACACCTTATAATCCTGCACAACTTTTAGAGAATCTTGATAATAGCCTAAGGACTAATCATGCCTAAATTAAAAGTTAGATTTAAGGTTTTATTAAGATATAATTTTTTACCTCCTTAGGTAAGATAGCATCAATCCTACGTTCATTAATATTTGTACATGCTAAATACTATATAAAGATAATTTAGAGAGATCAAGATTGAGGTTATCTTACAACATTTCCAGAGTGTCACTTTACTTATGTGGAATAAGTGGTGGTTTATTCATCAGGTGTTATTATAGTTATTGTTACTACTGATGGTGGTTTTCAACAACATTTTAATTACTCATCTGATTTAGCTTCTCGAATGTAAGAGCTGATCTGTAGTATTTGAGGGCTAACTAATACTATCCCTTTCTAATTGTAGTATAAAAATTAATTGAAATATTACTGTTTATAGAGGAGGCCAAAGTTTTGATAAATAACTGTCAACAGCTTATTTTTGAGATTTAAAGCTGATATGGTTTTTAGAATTGGGTCTTTGCTTTACTCAATGTTTAATAGTGTAAATTCTGCTTTATGCAAGTGCTCTCTTGCTATATCATGCTTTTGCTGAGAAATGAAAGTTTGAGAGTTGTAGACTTGCTTTAGTATGAACTTTTCCAGCTAGGCAAGAGTGCTATTTTTCTACTCTAATTTGGTTTCATTGCCAGTCATATTCGACGCTACTGGGTAAAATTTGCTCATATTTTCAATAATAAATGTTAATTTAATTTAGAATGAAAATTATGATTATTATTTCAACATCGAATTCTATATTCGAAAAATCATTTTTCGGGGTTTTGGGGTTTTGGGGTTTTGGGG